CCTGAAGAACAAGGAATAACGGTTGAAATATCAGCAATCAGGCGTCCACTTGGAGAACAAGGAAAAACAGTTGAAGTATCAGCAATCGGGCGTCCACCTGAAGAACAAGGAAAAGCAGTTGAAGATTCAGTAATCAGGCATCCACCTGGAGAACAAGGAAAGACAGTTGAAATATCAACAATCAGGCGTCCACCTGAAGAACAAGGAAAAGCAGTTGAAGATTCAGTAATCAGGCATCCACCTGGAGAACAAGGAACAACAGTTAAAGTTTCAGCAATCAGGCGCTCACCTGGAGAGCAAGGGAATACAACTCAGGTCAAGTAGTCAGGAGCCCACCTGGAGAACAAGGGAACACAACCCAAGTTTTGGAAGTCAGATGCCCATCTGAAGAACAGGGAAGGACAACACTAATTTCAAAGAATAGAAAGCAGTTCAAGTTTTGGTAATTAGGAGCCCACCTGGAAAACAAGGGGGGCAATACAATTCAAGTTTCAGTAATCAGGAGCCCGTCTGGAGAACGAAGGGAGGAAGCAATTCAAGTCCAAGCAATCAGGGGCCCGCCTAGAGAACAGAGATAGGCAACAATGGTCAAAGGAAGACGTTTAAAGGTTCAACAACAAGGTGCCCGCCTAAAGGAGAGGGAAAACATCTCAAAAATACAATTCAAGTCAGCAACAAAGGAACATCTGAAGAAAATACAAGACAACAAGGCAACAACAGTCACAAGACCAAGTTTGAAAATAAATCTTTGTAAATCATAGATTATAGCTTAGTCTAGCTTCTTCATTTTGTCATAGCGTAATAAGGAGGTCAGTAAGCAGTATCAGCAGCAGTAACAGTGAAACCACAGCTTCATGGTAGTCCCAACTACCGAAAATTCCCGAACTACATTTGACCTGATTCCTTTATAGCCAAGGATATGTAGGAAACCTTTAGAGCAGAGGTTCGGTCAAATCTTTCAAAAATGCTTACCACGGAGTATTCAAACGGGCAAAAATCGCTCGTATCCGCTCACTTTATCTTTGCACGAAAACTCTTCGTATTTCCGGGCAAAGAGGGGCAGTTGTGAACACGTGATTTTTGTCTCACACGAATTACTCCAAAAAAATTCCCAAAATTAGGTCTTTTCTTTAATTATGTGTTATTTTTGGAATTACTGTGCGATTTTCCTGATTGTTTGCATATGTTTGTGTGCATGTTTAATTCTATTAATGCATTAAAAATACAAAAATATAGCATCTGTATTTAGAATTTGATTTTTACATTTTTTGGATTTAATTAATAATTAGGTGTTTACAAAAATGAAAAATTCAAAAAAAACATATTTTTGTATAATATTTGTGATTTTCTTTTAATTAAGTATTTAATTATTTATGATAATTATTTAGAGTTAATTAATGTTTTTAAAGCTAATTTGGGTTTTATAATTTCAATTTAGGATTTTTAGTTTTAATTTTTGAAAAAGGGGAAGGAAAGAAAAGGAAAAAGAGTTAATGAAAGAGAAGTTATGTTTTTGGGCCATTTGCTTTAAACCAAAATAGGCCCAAAACATTTTCCTTGATAAATCGTCTAAACTGGCCCAAAAACACGTCCAAAACCCGGTCCAGGAGGCCCCTCGCCCAGACTATTGAAACGACGTAGTATGGGAGCAAAACTACGTCATTTCAGTGTCAACGAATCCCAAAACGGTCTCCCACTTAACCAAACGACGCCGTTTAAACGGCCTTTGATCTGAGCCGTTCATTCCCCCACATCCAACGACTTAGAACCTCACCCACAACCCGACCCCAACCCGTCCACCCAATGCCCGGTCCACCCTAGCACCCACTTAGTCAAAACGATCCCGTTTGTGATTAGTAATTCAATCGGAGCCGTTGGATTCCAATTATCCAACGGCCCAAATTAAATCGCTAATATAATATACCCAAAACCCTTACCCCTACCCCAAACCAACTCCCCTACCTCTTCGTCTCTCACCATCTCTCAGAGACCCCCCCCGTTAGCCCCGCCCAAAACCACCGCCAGCCGGAAATCGCCTACGGCGGCGGCCGGCGTCCAAACACTACCAAGTTTACACCCCTGACTCCTATCCACCTCCCCATTCCAAACCCCCAAACCATTTCCCTCGAATCTCAGCCAAACCCTTCGAATATTAGTTCAAAAATTGACCCGAACCCTAACTTACCCAATCACCCCCAAACTAATACCCCTTGACCACCACAAATCCCCCTTCCCTAATCCATAGCCAGCTTCCTTCGAATATGGCCCAATCTGCTCGAATCTTAAAAACAAGGGTTCGAGTCTTAAAAGCCAAAATCCAAAAAAATTGATGCTATAGTTCCTCATAGGTTTAGGACTGATTTTATCACAAAATAAGGTTATTCACTTGTTCTTGACAAAGAACAAGTGATTGACCTTATTTGGTGATTTAAATCAGAGGGTCAGTCACAAGGTCAATCCGAGCAGGTGAGTTCTTTCCTGTTTTTTTATTTATTTTTGTTAAATTTATTCTGATTGTCCATCTCTTCCCCATTTCTTTTATTTTCTATGGTTGAATTTAGTTGAAATTCGACCATATCCGCGGTTCAGAATGTGTTAAGAGTCACATCTTAGTCAATGTAACTGGCATTAATTTGAGAATTCGGGCAGTTTCTTGTTCAATTGTGTAAATAATCAATTTGATTACTGTAAGTTAAACCTCAAAACTATTCAAGTTGTCACCTAACTTAAGAAGCTTCTAAATGGGTGGTAGGGTAGAAATTGCATTACTGAATTAATTAAAAGCACTAAATTAGTGGATAATTAAGAAATGAAAAGTGGAACTGATAATGGTGAATGCACTAAGTTGAATGCTTATAAATAGATACTGAGTTCATACACAAGGAGGAGGAGAACATGTTCTGAAAAATACTGAAAAATACAGATTTTTAAGAGCTAAGAAGTGAGGAAAATCAGAACAGCTGAAAAACTTTAGAAAAAAAACCACTGTTTCATTGAGTCCTTTGGTGACTTCTGTAATTTTCTGAGTGTTGAAAAATTCCTGGTTAAATGACAGTTGAAATGGATTAAGATCAATTCTGGTTTGAGGTTTTCTAGTTCACTATTTGGACTGAAATTGTTTTCTGGGATATCTTACTTCATTTTCTGGTTTGAGCTGGTCTAACTGGTTGATTCGCTATCCTGCTGTTTCCGGCTGACATCTCATTTTGCTGGTTTTTGTTTGCTCAATATCAGGTACCTCCCTTAGCTTTTGATTAAGGAATGATTCCTGGAGATGTAATTTGGTTGGAGTTTAGTTAAATGAAGACTACATTCAAGTTGATGTCCCTGTTGCTTTACTATTTTTTTGTCATATTCTGTACTTAGGCTTTGAATTATAGACATTAATTAGTCTTTCTTTTCTGAAACTGTGTGTGTAAGAGTAACCCATAGAGTATTTCACATGTGTATTGATAAGTGGACTATGGACTTTGATTATTTAGGTTCATATTTGATTTTGAGTTTTGGATCACCACTACTGTTAGTATTCTGCTGAAATTGCCATGTTCTAGTCTTGAAAAGCTGGCTGTTGGCATGTATGTGTGTTGGTTTATACAAATGCAATTTGGAAGTGCTAATTACTACTTGACAGTTGATCTGAGTTTTAGTATTCAAAAGGAAAGCTCATATGTAGGTTGTTTTTTAGGAAGCATGACTATATCAGCAGGGTATGTCAATGATGCTTCAATTTACAATATGTAGATGATGATCATGTGAATGTGTTAGATTATAACTAGTATGAGCGATGAATTACTTGTTTTTTTATTTAAAGGTTCAGCAGTAAGCATGTTCACTTAGTCTCCAAATTCCAATGATTGCCCACTTGCAGTACTTCATTAATTAATAAATGAAGTTGTAGGAACTTAAAAGGGATGTTTAGGAATGATTGTTTGTTAATTCCAATCGAGGTTTCTGTATTAGTGATTATTAAGTCCATTGTTGAGATTGTTCATAGACCTATGGTGTTCGAATGTCCTTGTTATTGTGCTTTCCAAATCTGAATTACATTCTGCTACTGCTCGGATTCTATCATGACCTCTTTGACATCCCATTTGAGCAATGCCTCATGAAAGTTTGGGCTCTCCATTTAAGTCCAGATAGGGTCAGCTTGGAACCCGTATTTTGCATCCTTGTGTTTCTTCGAGCTATTGGGCCTCACCTTAGGCCAAGCCCGAATTCTGAAAACTAAAGATAGATTAGACTTTACTTCACCTTAATTTGGACCCATGTTTGAGTTCAACCGAGATTCCAAAGTAGGTGTAATTCCTTTAAGCCTTATTTCATTGATGGGTCCTTGGCTAGCTGAGGTGCGTCGTGCCAAACAAAATGCCAATCACATGACCCTAGTTTATTTGATCCATAGAATTCGAGGCGTGCCGTTTAGTCAATTTCCACGGCGCTCGCAAAGTTGCAAACACGTAGTTGCTTTAAGCGCGTCATTTTAATAAATTCACCTTCCTAAAATCGAGTGCGCATTTATGTGACCCAAATCCAAATCTAAACAATGTTAGATAAAGTATGTTGCGGACTACAGGTGCATTTATGTGACGTGGTTCAAGACGTATTTTTGATAACGTTGAATTTTTCTTAAAAATTAATGAATAAAAGCGATCAAAGTTAAAAATGCACATAGGTTCAAAATGTTCTAAAATCAGATAATAGGCCAATTATAACAGTTGAGCGACCGTGCTAGAACCACGGAACTCGGGAATGCCCAACACCTTCTCCCGGATTAACAGAATTCCTTACTCGAATTTCTGGATCGCGGACTGTAATACAAAGTCAATCTTTCCTCGATTCAGGATTTGAACCGGTGACTTGGAACACCATAAATTATCCCAAGTGGCGACTCTGAATCTTAAATTAAAATAATCCCATTTCGATTGTCCTTTAATTGAAAAAACTCCCTTATACCCTCTCGGGGTAGTAAAAAGGAGGTGTGACACCGACTATGGAGATAAATGAAGCAAAGCAGCACAAATTGGCCGTATTTCTTTGTGAGAATTAGCATCTGGAATGACATGGCTAGCACTATCAGAAAGTTAATCATAGTCGTTCTAATTCCTGATCTATGTCCTATAATCATACATCAAATTTGTTTAGCAACAGACACCATATCAATGAATGAACAAGTTGTAGATGGTCAAACTATAGTTTCAGCAGGAGGTATCTTTGAGCTTGGATTCTTCAGTCCTAATAGATCCAAAGGACGATATGTGGGGATATGGTACAAAGGATTACCAACTGAAAAAGTTGCATGGGTTGCAAACCGTGAAAGACCATTAATTGGATCAAATGAAGTTCTTATGATTGAAAGTGATGGCAATTTGGTCCTTGTAGATCATGATAAAAATAATATGCCAGTGGTCTGGTCTACACAACTTAGTTTAACATCCAACAACACCATTATTAAGGTTGTACTCACCGATGAGGGGAATCTTGTTCTTCGGGAGAACAAGTTGAATGAATCAGTAGTGTTATGGGAGAGCTTCAATCATCCATCTGACGCCCTCTTGCCTCGTATGAAGATAGGTCTGAATACTAGAACAGGGGAACAAATAATTGTTACATCTTGGAAAGATGATACAAATCCGTCATTGGGAAGTTTTACCATCGCCACTGTTGGATCCTCAGGAACTTGTACAAGTCATTGTTTTAAATAGCTCGTTGAAGCATTTTCGATCAGGACAGTGGAATCGGGGAAGTTTCATAGGAGTGCCTAGCATGACTAAAGACTACAACAATGGCTTTCAACTACTTACTGATAATAAAGGGGAGACAGTTTATTTTTCTTAGGTATACTCAATTACTCTTCTCCAATATTGATATACTTAGATTCCTCAGGAGCGATAATTCAGATGGATTGGGATGCAGAAAATAATAAATGGTTAAAGATGCAGGTAGTACCTAAAGGTCAATGTGACTTGTATAACACATGTGGGCCTTTTGGTAGTTGCAAGAATAATGATTCACCAATATGCAAATGTTTCAAGGGTTATGAACCAAAGTCTATGAGTGAATGGAACAAGGGGAATTGGATTAGTGGTTGTGTTCGGAGAGCAAAATTCCAGTGTGAGGAGACAAGTCCAAATTCTGATGATGATGAGAGAAAGAGGGATGTATTTTTACCAGTTTCAGGGCTGAAACTACCAGATTTCTCACATTACCTACTTACTTGGGATAAAATGGAATGCCAAGATTCTTGCTTAGAGAATTGTTCTTGTTTGGCATATGCTTATGTGGATGGAATAGGCTGCATGATTTGGGGAAAAGATCTGATTGATCTCCAAGAGCTCCCATGGTGGAGAGCAACTATACATTCGGCTGGCACATTCCCAACTTGGTAAATACACCAATCTTCTCTATAACATCTCATTCTATTAATACTTGAACGAAACTTTCAATTCATATTTGGAGTTGGTTTGTCTTCTTTTTTTTCCTCCCTATCTTTTCTATGAACACAGAATACGGTGGTCAAGACCCAAATTAATTATCTACTTTATAGGAGGTGTGATAGAGGTTTATACATGAATTGCAAGGTCATCCCGAATGAGAATCGACTCAACATAGGCTAATGGGCATGGAATTGGCGATCATGCGGACAAGGAAAAAGAGGGTTGTGTCTGGTCTATCTAGGATCAGATGGGATGCCTTGACTAAAGACAAAGCTCGGGAGTTGGGGAGAAGTTACTGGCTATGGGGGCCTAGAGGAGCACTGGAGATGCGAGATATATGTGGACCATGACATTGCACTGTATTAGAGAAGCTGCGAGAGAGGTGTTAGGGGTCTCGAAGGATTTCTCTGGCGGCCACAAAGGGGACTGATGGTGGAATGAAGAGGTCCAAAGCAAAGTGAAAGCCAAGAAAGCGGCGTATTTGAAGCTAGTAGAGAGCATAGACGAGGTGGAGAAGAAGATCCATCAGAGAGTGGTATAACAAGTCTAAGAATGAGACGAAGTTAGCGGTTACTGCGGCTAAGACCGCAACGTTTGGACGTTTGTATGAAGAGCTTGGGAGAAAGGCGGGGATAATAAGCTGTATAGGCTGGCCAAAGTGAGAGAAATGAAGGCCCGTGATCTGGATCAAGTGAAATGCATTAAAGACGGGGAGGGTGGATTTCTGATGGATGAGGCACATATTAGGCGGAGGTGGCAGTCATACTTCCATAAACTCTTGGATGAAAGGGGGATAGGAAAATTTTGCTGGGTGATTTGGAGCACTCCGGGAGTCATCGAGACTTTGGGTACTATAGGCGCATAAGATTGGGTGGCTCAAGAGAATTACTTAACTTGACGGAAGAACTTTATAAGTTTCCAAAAGAGGGCGATGCGTAGGATGAGCAAGGGTAGAGCAACCGAGCCAAACGAAATCCCGGTAAAATTCAGGAAAAGTGCGGTAAGGCAGCTTGGAATGGCTCTCTAGGTTGTTTAACGTCATTTTTAGGACGAAGAAGATGCATAAGAGTGGAGGTGGAGTACGATGATTCGGTTGTACAAGAACAAGGATGATATCCATAATTACAATAACTATAGGGGTATCAAGCTGCTAAGTCATATGACGAAAGTTTGGGAGAGAGTGATGGAAGGGAGGGTGAGGAGGAGTGTCTCTATGTTCAAGAACTAGTTCGGTTTCATGATCACGGAAGCCAATCATCTGGTGAGGAGAATGGTGGAGCAGTATAGGATAATGAAGAAGGACTTGCATATGGTGTTCATTGACCTAGAGAAAGTATAGGATAAAGTACCGAGAGAGGTTCTATGGAGGTGCTTAGAGGCTAAAAGTGTGCATGTAGCCTACATTGGGGTGATTAAGGACATGTATGATGGAGCTAAGATACAAGTGAGGACAGCGGGAGGAGACTCGGAACACTTCCCGATTGTGATGAGGTTGCATCAGGGATCAACCCTTAGCCCATTTTTGTTTTCTTTGGCGGTGAATGTGTTGACGCGATACATTCAAGGAGAGGTACCATAATGTATGTTATTTGCGGATGATGAGCTCTGATTGGCAAGATACATATGGCATTAATGAAAGGCTGGAGGTTTAGAGACAGACTCTTGAGTCTAAAGGCTTCCAGCTGAGCAGGACCAAGACGGAGTACTTGGACTGCAAGTTTAGTGAAGTTACCCAGGAAGCAGACATAGATGTAAGGATTGATACACAAGTCATCCCAGGAGAGAAAGTTTCAAGTACCTTGGGTCTATAATACAACGTGATAGGGAGATTGATGAGGATGTCACGCATCGTATCGGTGCAAGATGGATGAAGTGGAGGCTCGGTTCCGAAGTTGTGTGATAAGAATGTACCGCTAAAACTTAAAGGTAGTGGTTAAACCGAACTCAGTGTTGTAAATAGCGCTCGCTACGTCGCTAATAGCGAGTAGCGACGCGGAGACGATTTTTTTGGTCTATTGCGATGCGTTTTTAAAAAAGCGCCGACGAGGCGAAGTAGCGTCGGCGAGGAGAGAGAGGCGAGGTAGCGACAGAGGCGTCGCTTTTTAAAAAAAATGAAGAGACTTAAATAAAAGTTAGGGTTTTCTCGACTCCCAAGTGCCTCTTTTTTCTTTCTTTCTTCTTTTCTTCTTCTTTCTTTTCTCTTTCTTTTTCCGGCAGTAAGCTTCTGTTTTTCCGGCGTCTTTTCCGGCAGTAAGCTTCTCTTTTTCTTTTCCGGCAGTAAGCCTCTGTTTTTCCGGCGTCTTTTCCGGCAGTAAGCTTCTCTTTTTCTTTTCCGGCAGTAAGCCTCTGTCTTTCCGGCGTCTTTTCCGGCAGTAAGCCTCTCTTCTTTCTTTTCTTTTCTTTTTCTTTTTCAGGTATTAAGTCTTCTTTGTTCTTCTTCTTTCCAGCAACAACTGATTTCCAGCATAAATATTCTTTCTTTCTTTTCTTTCACCTCTGTTTTCGCTTTTGCTCTTCTTTCTTCTTCTGTTTCTCTTTTTTGATTTTTTTTTCCAGTTTAATAAACAATTACTTGCATATTAATTTCTTCTATAATTACAATTACAATTAACTGTTATTTTCTCTGTTTAATTACAATTAATTTCTCTCTATAAATAGTATATTAAAATATTTGATTTCTATCTATTGAGTTGAATTTATATATTTACTAATATGTTGTTGTTATTGAGTTTTTGGTTATTTATATATGCCAATTTAATATTTTATATTTTGTATTAATTGGCACTTCACATCAAAAAGACGAGCGCTACGCTTCTCGCTTCTCGCCTTAGTGAAGCGGGCCTTCATCGCTTTTTGTCGCCTCACGCTATTCAAAACATTGTATCGACTGTGTTGTATAGGGCATGGTGTTGGCTGGTCAAAAACTCTCATGTCCATAAGATGAAAGTAGCTGAAATGAGGATATTGAGGTGGATATGTGGGCATACCAGGTTAGATAAGATTAAGAATGAATTTATTCGGGATATGGTGGGAGTGGCTCCGTGGAGGATAAGATGCGAGAGGCAAGGTTGAGATGGTTCGGGCATGTTAAAAGGAGAAGCATAGAAGCCCCAGTTAGAAGGTGCGAGAGGTTAACCATGGTGGGTATCAAAAAGGGTAGAGATAGGCCTAAAAAGTCTTGGGGAGAGGTGATTAGGCGGGACATGGCACAACTCGAGCTTACTGAGGACATGACCTTTAATAGGAGGGTATAAAGGTCGAGGATTAGGGTAGAAGATTAGTAGGTAGTCGAGCATTTCCTTTGTCTTCCTCAGTTCGATAGCATTACTGTTAGTATGATATCTTTTTATTCATAGATTGCTATTACTACCTAGCTTTTAACTGTTATCTTGGCTTCGATTTTCTTTTTATCTTGTCGTTGTTCGTACTTGTTGTCATTCTTTTTAATCCTCTCTTTAGTCGAGGGTCTATCGGAAATAGCCTCTCTGCCCTTCCAGGGTAGGAGTAAGGTTGCATACATCTTACTCTCCCCAGACCCCACTTATAGGAACTCACTGGTTTTTTTGTTGTTGTTTTCTATGATCACGAAGGTTAGTAGTCTGCCTATGTTATCCATCTCTAATAATTTGATGGATTCACATTCTAGATTTTTTAAATGATAATGATGTATGGGCCAACTTGCGCACACTTAAACTATTTCACCAGGCACATGCTTACTTTCACAGATATCAGGAAATTATGCTCACCAAAGCTTAGATAAATGGGAATAAATCAGCTAGTAGTTTTTTTCCTTCTACTGGAATTTGAACCTGAGACATCATGTTTGTTGCATCACATTTAGGCTTCATGTTTTATTTTATATTTTTATATCGAGTTGCCTTTTGTTATGCAGATAAGAGAAGGCAAATGGGAGCCCGTATTGCAATTATCCTTTCAGCAACAGTAGGCCTAATTCTTATTGGTTACACTCTATATATATTGAAGATCAGAAAAAGAGGTAAAACGCATTCAAGTTTTACAGATCTTAAGCGATTCAGAGGCACAACTTTTTGCTACCTTTTGGAGACAATTTTTTTATTTTTACTAGCTTTTATCAGGCATTGGGAGTTTAATCCCTTCTTGCAGAGGAAGGATAGCTTCAAAACACACTTCAGTAGCAAATTTGCTTCATAAAAGTTTTACTCAAGGTAGCAGTTCAGAGTTACCAGTTTTCAGCTTCAAGTACATAGAAACTGCTACTAAAAACTTTTGCCCTCGAAATAAACTTGGAGAGGGGGGATTTGGACCTGTTTACAAGGTATCACGTGCGTGTTTTAATCATCCTTCAGCAGAAAAAACATATTTGCTTATAAGTTGAAGTCGTGTGTGATTCATATATAGGGGGTATTAACAAATGGACAAGAGGTTGCTATAAAAAGACTTTCAAGGAGCTCAGGACAAGGCATAGAGGAGTTCAAAAATGAGGTTACACTAATTTCCAGACTTCAACACAGAAACTTAGTCAAATTGATGGGCTTTTGCATTCATGGGGAGGAAAAGTTGCTCATCTATGAATACATGTCCAACCGAAGCTTAGATGTTTTCATCTTCGGTGAGCTAATTAAGAAGAGTAATAGTTTTCTTGATGAATGATGGTTACTGAGTTGAGAATCCAAAGCAACAAAATTTCTGTCATTAATTTGTGTGCTGGGCAGGATCAAGATCAGATGATAAGGCGGCGTTGAGCTGGAATCAACGATATAGCATCATTGAAGGGATTGCTAGAGGGCTTCTTCATCTGCATCGTGATTCACGACTAAAAGTCATTCACAGAGATCTCAAGGCAAGCAATATTCTCTTAGATGAACATATGAATCCCAAAATCTCAGATTTTGGAATGGCTAGGATTTTTGGAGGGAAGCAAACTATAGCAAATACCAACAGGATTGCTGGTACCTAGTAAGTATTGTTCA